AGAGAGACTTGAAGGACTGCTAGTCTCTCAACTTTCTCTCACGGACGTGAGTTGTACTAAGCCATTTATAGTGCTTCTAATTTAACTGTTTATTTCTTGCATTGTATATTTATCTGTATATGATTTAACAGTTCATTTCTTGTTATATATCTAATTATCTTTATAAATGAATATATTATATTATCAGGAATTTGATTTTATCTCTCTAGAGAACCCTGTCTAACACAGTCTCAGAAATCCACAGGGGCAGTTCTACTCTGTCCTGTAGCTTTGCTATGAGTTGTTCTAGCTATTCTCTAAGCCAGTCTGTCTCCCTTTACGCCTTGGTGGGGTGGCTGAAAACAAATTACTGAAAGATTGCGGCAGGAGGATCATGGCATGGGCACTGCAGCATCACAGTCCCAGTGCACGCCAATAAACATCTTCTTGATGAGAAACACAGCCTTTAGGATATGCTGATTGTCAGTCATACCCTGCTGGTCTGTGCCCTGAAGCCCACAGACTGCCCTCGGTCAGCAGCATGATGTGCACTCTCATTCCAGATCTGATGGAGAGAACAACTGCTGGGTGACTGTGCCAATCGAAAGCCTGTCTGACGTAATTTGAAAGCAAGGATTCAAACAGACACTTGTAGATTGTTCATTGTGGTCACAATAGCCCCCAAATGGACACAAGCCAAATGTCCATCAATATATGAGAGGATCAGCAAGATGTGATATATACATATCACACACATATATACATATATTACATCTTGCTGATCCTGTCATATATTGATGGACACACACATATATATATAATGGAATATTAGTCCATAAATATTCCTTGATGAAGTTATAATACATGCTACACCACAGATAAACCCTGAAATCATTATGAGTGCAAGAAGGAAAAAAAGGACATATACTCTATGAAATATAAAATGTTTATATAAAAGAACAAGAATAGGAAAATGCATTGAGACAAGGGTTGATTTACTAGTGGCTGTAAGGGACTGGAGGTTGGGGAAATGAGGAATTGTTCATTGAGGGGTGCTGAGTTTCTGTTTGGGTGATGGGACTTTTGGATCCGGGTAGTGGTCATGGTTATTCAACATGGTGAATGTAAAAATATTACTGACTTGTACACTTTAAAAAATGGCAAAAATGCAGGGTGTAGTATAGCACCGATGAAACACAGCATTCCTCTAGTTCTTTAATGCTTCCTTCCCCCCACCATCATGACCCCAGTTCTACCTTACAAATCCAGCTAGACCGGAGCATGTGCACTGGTGCAGAGAAGAGCTCTAGATACACAGACTAAACCCCTCAGGACGGATAAACCCCTCAGGAACAGTAATGGGAGTAGCAATAAAACCATGAGGGTAGGCGGAAGGTGGGGGGTCAACAACAGAAATGTGGGTGAAGGGAGACAGTGGATGGTGTGAGATCAAAAGGGGTTTTCCCCACTAGGATGCTGCTTGCACCACATGGTAAATGACTGTACACTTGGAGGTCAATGCAAACTGCTTAGAGGTCAATCTCCTTGAGGGTTAACAGCTATCTAGAGCAATCAGACTGTATAGTCTGTCCCACCCTAAGTAGGGCCCACTCCTTTCTGATAAGGGTAGTGGATTGTTTCCTTGAAGGAGAGCCCAGAGACAAGT